AAAGTGAGATCTCGTCAAGTCATGTGACATTGCTCATGCCCTAATTTCCATTAAAAACATGGGTTGGTATAGAAAACGTTGGAAAATACTGTTCATAATGATCTTTGAAACATGTTATTGATACCACCTAGTGCATAAAGAATAGATCTTTCGATCCATGTGCGACATGTGTGTGAAAGTGACAATTTGTTTCTAAAATATCAGTTTGAAGTGCGACCCGGGGGTGGGTCGCTTATTTCCCGCATATTATAGAGGGCCGGAGTTCTGACGTTAATCGACGACAGACCGATATAAAAAAAAGTTGATAAAACGTCAGAATAATTCGGACTAGCTAGAAGGCGACCTTAATCCTATGTACAATTGAACCCTGCCACACTACTCCCCCCTTTTTAAATATGTTTGCCCTCGAACACCACAACCCAGGTTATAACTCCCTGTCACCACAGGGAGGGCCACGGACACTATTTGTAACAGGAAAGAGACCTTAAACCTATGTACAATTGAACCCTGCCACACTTGGATCATGTTGAAAGAATGACGCCCTTTTTTTGTAATTTTTAAAAGAACTTTATGTGTTTTCATTTCACTTTGTTCCCCATTTCAGTAATAGAACTCTTACTCAAATGGGTAACAGTTACCCAAATGAAGGATTATTACCCATACGAGACGTTGTGCCCAACCTGTTCAGTACCTGTTGGTTGCAATTTTCTTCTGCTACATGTGCAGCTAGTACAGGATCAAAAAAATCATGTGTATATTTAATAATTACTAATGCGTCATCAACATTAACAAGGTTAAGAAATGGTTCCTCATTAAGTTATGCAATCTTCAGTGTAGATAAGAAAACGTGCTAAGATTGCAGTTTCTGAGTTTGACAGTTTGTGGTTACCGGTTGCCAATTTTTGTATGATGTTCCATCTTTAACACATTATCAGAAACGAAACTTGAAAGCGCATGTTTTCTAGTTAAACTTACCGTTGCAATAGATATATGAGCAAAGAAGAGGAAATGCTATGAACACATTAATGTTCATTCATTATTTTTGCAACCACCAATGTTTTTCTTACCGGAAGTAAACAAAAACGAGTAGGTAAAACGACTTCGTCACCGGATAATATTTTCCGGAATATTTCCCGCGCTTACTGTAACACACTGAATATTTTGGATAATTCGGAAGAACCACGGACTTATTTAATTTAATCTAATTCCGTGGAAGAACTAAGGAAAACATGAACGACAGATAGAAAACAGAAAGAAAGAAAATTTAATTTAATTTAAATTAACGACTTGTTCCATTTGTCATTTAACATTAATCATAAGTGTCCAGAAATTAAATGACTAAATAATGTCCATCTCAATTAAATGATCTACTTAGCGATATTATTTAATGGGACTCTGTTCCGTTTACTTTAAAAGATGTTTATTCAGCAATAAACACGGTCTGAAAAGACAAACAAAGTAGTGGTAAATTGCACAATAATAATTAGCATGAATTACGTATAGAAACTAATCATAACATACAATCCGCCTCTATCTCCCCCAAGTCTTTGGTACACGCGAGTAATAGGGTCACTCGTATTAGTCTAAGAAACAAAGACTGATGTGAAATATGAGAATTATTAAGAAATATCCGACTAATTGTCCTAAAATTAAAAAATATGAAGCACTGAGTCTCAGTAAAAAGTTGCAAAACAGATATAACACATAGGTAATGTTCCAAGTAGAAACAAGTCAATTGTTATTTGGACATTCTATAATCTGAATGCCAAGCTGGTTTCTTTGTGACACGACCAGAAGTCCGGATCGGTGCAGGTGACGGAACTACCGCTTGTGGCGTATGTGTCGAGATAGGTGGCATCGTTGCCGGAGGTGTGGTGATTTTGCTCAATGGGGTTGTAGGAAAATCAAACGCTAGATGACGTCGACTGAAGATGTCTCGGATACCAAATGGTGGTGAAGGGTGATCAACATCAGATGATGAACGAGGTGAACGTTGTATGGTTCTAGAAGTCAACGGAGTGGATGGGGGAGGACTCGTATCCTTACGGGGAGGGTTGCTTTCTTCACCGACGACGGCGTCTGTGGCGTTAGTAGCAGGAGATGTCGTACGATGGGAGAGACGCATTTGATTGTCAATTGTGTAACGTGCTGATGGTGTAACGACTAGGATATACTGCCTGAGGAATTTCCTGTTGCGTAAGGTAACACGGCCAGATCCGTCAACCCGAACTACATATTGATCAAACTGGCGAACTTCGGTAATGATTCCAGTCTTGTCCCATTTAAGGGGATGAGGACCAACTGATTTTGGATGCGTACATGATCTCCAACTGCAAGAGGTAAGAGGCGTTTGGTGTGTTCAGACCAACGTTCACTTTCTCGCATGTGACGATTCCGTAACGCCTCCTCGCGAGCTGCTAAAGTCTCCAGCCAAGTGTTATGTGGAATGTACCGACCGGGTGGTTTAGGAATAAAGTCTCGTATAGGACGACCGAACGAACACAAAGCAGGAGATAGTTTTGTGTCTCTGTCAGGTGTGTTACGATACTGGAGAATAGCGCGTTGGAATGAGTCGGTGTTAAAGTCGCCATTGGGACTGGTGTTGCCAGTGTTCAGACGCTTCACCGTTTTGACTCCCACTTCAGCACGGCAGTTACTATGGGGAAAAGCTACAGATGACGGTCTATGGTGAACGCCCCAGTTCCTGAGAAATCGACGTGTGGCCATGTAGCCTTGGGGTGCAGTTTTATAACGGTACCTCCCCCAACGAGTAATGAACGTAGTCAAGTGTATGTCCACTTCACAGATGGGTACACTGTGATAATCGTTCCATGCATCAAATAATGTCTACTTCCTTCCATGTGGAATAGACGGGCTTGGTGGAATGGCGAAGGGGTGTGATGAGTCTTGCGAGTGGCATGTGCATTTAAGGTTTGGAAGTCAACAGTGCGCCGAGGTGTACCGTTCTTTTTCGCACAAATAACCATTCAATAACCCCCAAACGAACATCCTGGTCTAGTCCAGCCTTTAATGCATCTTGCAAGTGGATTGGAACGGGTACTGGTGTATGGTGAGCGACAGGTTTCGCGCTGGAGTCCAACATGAGCTTCAAGGGAGGTCCATTCATGAGTGGTAAAGTCTGGTGTTCACATGTGTTGAATGTGCTAGACTTGTAGTGGTCAAGAAGGTAACCTTTTCAGCGACCAACGTTTTCCAATGTAGCAGGGAAAGGCAGTTTTGTCGGGGGCGGTGGTGGCAGTTGGCGTGTAGGACAAGCGCATGCTTTGTCTTGGTGATCCGGTAAGGAGAAAGTAGCATCTACATGTATGCTAGCTTAAGGGACTTGAGCTCCGACGGTTGGAAACGAATCGTGGATAATACCCAATGCAGCCTGTGACATATGTCATCTGTCTGGTCTCCTTGGGGTTTCATGCGTTAGTTTGAAGCCTAGGGCGGCGTAGTCCTCATCGGTAACTTTAGCCGTCACGTTCACAAATGGTTGAGGCTTGGAGCGTTGTTTCATCCAGGAATTCGTCAGTTCATCATAGACATGGTGGTCGATGCTGATTGAGCGTTCGACGCCAGATTCACTAACGGTACAGTGGTGATGTTGTAGAGAATCATGAGCAGAGCACAACGTGTCGAATAAAGCACTTCCAGAAAGTGTATCACGTTCTGTCACTTTGGGTTTGTCCTTGCTTCTACATAAAATTTCGAAATAATGCTCGCGATGGCAATGCCCACATATTTGTCGATATGCTGTACACTCTGTTTTACGTATGCGAGCAGAGGCAGATTTGCTGTGACCCTTTTTTCCACAATATGTACATTGCTCTGCTTTGTTGGTGGTGTCTTTTGACGACGGTCTGTCAGCCTTGCTTTTCCTCAACTGGATGAGAATCTGAAAGTCTAGAAGCTGAACGTTTACCGGCTTCCTTTGATTCAACAAATTGAAATATATCCTCAAGATTCACGTCCTGATTTTTGTGTCCTAGCAGATCAAGTTGTATTTCCGGATCGNCATCCTCAAGATTCAACTCCTGATTTTTGTGTCCTAGCAGATCAAGTTGTATTTCCGGATCGACAATTCCCCGGGTAAGTACGTCACGCATGATAGCGTCAGTGTAATTGACGTCGGCTGTACATCCGGGGCACTTAATCACAAACTTGCATATACCGGCCTGTCCTTTAAGTCTAGCACCGTAACTCCGGACAGTTTCATCACGATCCTGTCGCATATTGTGTAGCATCACTTTTGCAACCATAGTGTTTTCCTCACGTACCGCGAGCTTTGTAACTGCAGCAAAAACCTAATCCACGGTTATGTCAGCGAGACTACCATCGGCTGATCGTGTCAAGTCTTTCCGTAATGGCTCGTCACAGCATTCTAGTAGCTAGATTACTTTATCCTGTCCAGTGATTTTCGTGGCACTAGCCGAGATTGGAAATATGCCCACTCCTCGCTAGATCCTGCTGCACTGAGCGTGGGTCGCTTAACTTTCTCAACTTTAGCAGCGTGTTCTCGTTTGGGTATGTGTACAGCGGAGTGAGCCGTGATGAGTGCCGCGACGATAGTGGCATCCAGGTCATCCGTGACTTAATCGCAGTCTGTGATAGGGCAGGCTACAGCTGGCATTGTGGTGATGTGGCGATGATGGAGTTCAGTATTCACACCGTGTTCATAAATGGGACTCTGTTCCGTTTACTTTAAAAGATGTTTATTCCGCAATGAACACGGTCTGAAAAGACACACAAAGTAGTAGTAAATTGCACAACAATAATTAGCATGAATTACGTATAGAAACTAATCATAACATACAATTCTCTAGTTATATCTATGGTGTTTAACAGCTTATAGATTTCTACCATATCAGATCTTAGTCTTCTATATTCAAGTGATGGTGGCCCTAGCCGATGGATACGCTCAGGGTACGAGACATCTTTTAGGGATGGAACTAGTTTGGTTGCCCTTCTTTGAACATTCTCTAAGGAGATTTGGTCTTTTTTTTTAGTATAGGTGACCACGTAGTGACATTATTTCAAGGTATGGACGTACCAAAGATTTATAAAGGTTGAGAAACATTTCCTTATTTATACAACTGAACGTTTTAAATATGAGAC